GCGGCTGCCCAGGGGTGCGACGAGCATATTCACCCATTGCGGCTCCACGCTGCGCGCCCGCTTGCTTTGCTCGCCCGTGTAAAAAAAGCAAACTTACACGAGGTGTTGACGTCCCTGCGCGCCCAGTGCAGCCGCTGCTGGCACTGTCGTTTCCTGGCGAAGCAGCGCAGCTCGATCGCGAGGGACGCGCCGAACCCTGGCGCGCCGAACGCGGCGGAGGGAGCACCGTGCTTCGCCGCGCCCACCGCGACGCTGCAGACCTCCGCTTGGCGGACCGCCGAGGGCGGGGGCGCGTCCAAGGCGAAAGGTCGGCGGGGCGCAGGAGCAGCGCGAGCCCCCCGCGCCTGCCCGGGCCCCTCAGGGCAGGGCCGCGGGCGGACGGCGCCCGATTCGCAGGGCCGGGGGCGGGGGCGCGGGCCAGGGCATGACCGCGGGCCAAGAGCTACCAGAGGACCCACTCCCCCGCCCCCGAGCTGTCGATGGACTCGAAGGACTTTGGGCCAACGGCTTCTCCTCTCCTTGTCCTCCCCCCCTCCCCCCCCTCCTCCTCGTCCTCCTCCTCCACCTCCTCCCCCCCCTCCCCCCCCTTCCCCCCCCCCTCCCCCTCCGCGCCCCCTCCGCGCCCCCCCGCGCCGCGCCCCTATCGCCCCCGCCTCCTGGTGCATCCCCTTCTGCTCCATCCCACCCCTGATGCGTCCTTCCGCTGGCTTTCGTTCCGCGCGAGGCAGCCCCGCCCGCTGCGCGCCATCCTGGGCGCGCCACTCCGGCCGCGCGGCCTTCGGTGCTGGCTCGCCCTGAGCGGGCCCTGGAGTCGTTCAGCGTCATCGCCTGCGCCGCTGCGTCGCCGACTTGGCCTTCGCCTTCGCCTGTTTGACCCCGCGCTTCCTCCGCTGCCCCTCGCCGTCGAGCATTGTTCTCGCCCTGGCGCGGGCCCCGGCGGCGGGCGACTTCCCTCTCTCGTCGGCGATCTTCCGCGCCTCCGTTTTGACCAGCGAATCCGCGCCCACCGCGACAGAAGACTCTTCCTCACACATGCCACCGCAGTGCTGAACCAGCTGGAGGTAGTCGTCGGACTTCGAAACCCAAGCCTTCTCGCCGAAGGCGCAGCGCCCTCCCCCACCTCTCATCTCTCGGCGAGAAGATAAAGCGGAGCCTCGAGGGCGGGGGCGGGATCTGTTCTCGCGATGCCCGCCAGTGGCTCCAGTTCTGGATGAGGTCGCACCCGTCGCTGATCTTCTTCTCGGAGACGTCGACCTTGCCGCCGCTGCAGAACTCGATTGATTTGATGTAGCCACCCCCTGCGTTCAACTTATAGGAGCCGTAAACGCGCCGCTGCAGCCCGCGCGCGGACTGGATGTTGCAGCCCAGCACCTCGGACTTCAAACCGACCTTCGACGCCGCGCTCGCGCGAGAACTTCGCGAAGACATCGCGCGCTCGCTGAGTTCACCCACCATGGTCAGCGCAAGGGGGGCGCGCAGCGATGCCCGATCAACTTTGCAATCGCGCCCTCGTCCTTCTTCTTCAGCGCAGTCGAGAGGCGAGTGGTGAAGCCCTCGGTGGTCACCAGCCAGTTGATGTAGAACTCCTCCACCCCCCCCCCCCCGCCATTGAAGGTGGTCACCTTCGCAAAATTCGCGAAGTCGTTGATCGACGGCTCGGTCGCGGGGAACGTCTCGCGGCGCCACCTGAAAGCACCGAGGATGCTATGCGGCTTCGCGATGAGGTCGTGGAACAACGCCTTCCAGAGAGGGCGCGGGTCCATGGCCCGCTGGTCGGAGCCCTTCGTGGGCAGGGGGCATCTCCTGGCGCGGGGGTGAAGTTTTCGCGACGGTCGCGCGCGTGACGCAAGGTTTCCGCTGCGAGCTCGCACTGGGGCCGCCGGCGGGGACAGCGGCCGCGTCTCCAGCGCCGTTCGCCGCGGGCCTCGAGACGCCGCCACGGCGCGCGCAAAAGGACGACGGCCTCCTCGAGCGCCGAGCCATGAAGAGAGGGTGGGGCAGGGGGGGAAGGGGGGGAAATGGGGGGCCGGCGAGGAGGAAGAGGGGGGGGGAAGGGGGGAAAGAGAGGTGGAGGGATGGGGGGGGGGGGAGAGGGAGGCGAGAGGGATAGAGACTAACATGTACGAGGGTACGAGCGAAGGGAGACGCAGGGCACTGCGAGTGGCGCGAGCAAGAGTACCGGCGCGATGAGACCGAGCGAGATGAAGCGAGACATGGGGGCTAACATGTGCGACGGTGCGAGCGGGGGCAGGCGCGCGGGTTGCGTCGAGATCGCGGCGGGAAGCAAGCGCGGGCGGGGGGGCAGTGGAAGGGGGCGGTGGAGGAAAACAAAAAGAAAGGAAGAAGAGGAGGACCAATAGTGACAGAGAGCAGCGGAATGAGAGTGACGGCCTAGCGTAGATCACGGGCAGAGACGCGCAGGGCACGCGTAACGGGCCAGCGCAGAGCACGAGAGGGAGGGGCAAGCGCGCGGCACCGACTACAAGCTCCACTCCAAAGGGCAATAGGGCCAAGAGCGCAGGGGGGCGAGAAAGAGACAGAGAAAGAGAGATAGAGAGAGAAAGAGAAAGAGAGAGAGAGAGAGAGAACGGATGGGGTCACATGCAGAGAGGACGGCCTTACATATAGCAGGCCTAAGTATAGCTGGACAGGTAGCATATATATATATATATATATATATATATATAGAGAAAGAGAGAAAGAGAGAAACAAAGATATATATATATATAGAGAGAGAGAGAAAACAAAACAAAGAAACGAGAGAGAGAGAGATAACGGACGGGGCCATATGCAGAGAGGACGGCCTTACATATAGCAGGCCTAAGTATAGCTAGACAGGTCGGGTATGTGTATATATATGTATAGAGAGAGATATAGAGGACTAGAGAAAGAAAGATAGAGAGAGAGAGAGAGGGAGAGGGATAGGGGAGGAGGGGAGGAGGAAAACGACGAAGCATAATGAGCACGTCACGGGGTGGATAACGAGTGGGAGCGAGAGCAACCGTGAGAGAGTGAGAGTACGAGCGCGAGCAAAAAAAATGCTGCCAGGCGGAAGCGCGCGGGCGATGAATCGGGCGATCGAGTCTGGCTGGGCCTAAGTGGCTGAGTAGGGTAGGGGGCGCTGTGGGTAGAGTTGGAATGCTGGGGCATCGACGACCACGAACAGTTCAGAGCATGAATGGCAAGACGGGGCGATCGAGAAGGCCAGCGGGTGATCGGGAGAGGGCGCAGAGTAGGACGTTGGAAAGATGCTCGGCCCTCCCCTGCTCGGGGTCCCAGGGTCGGACCCCTCCCGCTCATACCTTTGCTCGTCCTCATGATCGTGCGCGGCCTCGCCCCTGCCATCTCTCCTCCTCGCCCCCCCTTCCTACTCCTCCTCTTCCTTCGCTTCCTCCCGCGTTCCTTCCCTCCCTCCTCCCGCCTCTCTCCTCCGTCTCCTTTCCTCGACCCCCTGCCGCCCGCGGGGCCCCTGTCGTCTTCGTCTTTGCGGGCGAAGAAGCCGTCGCTGGGAGTCTAGGGCCTGCAGCCTAAACGAGCGACGAAACTCTGGAGCTCTCGACGCCGTTGAGGCCCGCGCCAACGATCGCCGCGGACCGCCGACCAGTCGCCCTTCGGGGGGGCGTTGCTCTCGTTGGCGAGTCGCCGCGAAGTCGCTAGCTCGATGAGCTAACTCTTTGCGGCTCCTCGCCACTCGGGGATGGACAGACCCCCCTTTAGTAAAACGTGGTTTAGTGGAAACGACCGGAGGCCGACACCTGGCGGGCGCAAGCCTGGAAAATAACGGCCACGGCGCCCTCTTGAGAATCGAAAACGGACAATTCACTCATCGACGTGTCACTGTTGGGGGTTCTGTCCATACCCGAGCCGCGCAGTTGGCGACCATCTCGTCGACCGCGCCGCCCGCTGCCAGGTCGCCCATGTCGGCCGCGGCCTCTGCGACGCCGGCCTTCTCGAGGCGGCCGTCGCCGCTGCCTGCCGCCACCGCGGCGGCACCGCCGAGCCTGGGCAGTGCCGAGCTGCGGCCTGGCCCATACCTCGCGCCAAAGTGGGCCCGGTGGCAGACGAGCACCAGCGGGGCCAACGCGGCGGCGAGCGCGTTGACCCCGAGAGAAAGAGAAAGAGAGAGAGAGAGAGAGAGAGAGAGAGAGAAAAAAAAAAAAAAAAGAGAGAGAGAAAAAGAAACAACAAAAAAAACGAACAAGCAAAAAGTGCGACGAGGAGCGGGCGGGCTTGAGAGCAGGCCCCCCTGACCCCACGGTGGAGCCTCAGTGGCGTATTCGCTGTTGCCCGACACCTATTTTAGCCCTGACACGGTTCGTGCCCCCCCATCAGGAGCTCCCTTAGGGCCCCAGCGGCAGGGTTCGCATGCGCCCGCCGCTCATTTCCCATCGCAAAGTTCATGGCCGCCTAGGGTGCTCCACCGAGGGCCCCACTGGCAGGGTTTGCATGCGCCCGACGTCCATTTTGGCACACCCCTCCCACGCTCCACCGAAAGCGGTGCCCATAACGCAGTATTCGCAGCTGCATATGGTTGGGTCCTTCGCCAAGATTGTCGTCATCATTCATATAATTAGGATTGTAGGAACCAGGCTCGATACCTTAATTGTGTCGGCGCTGTGAAAAGGCGTTTCGTGCAACATAGGAAAAGCCCACGGTTGGGCCAGGCGCGCACTCCAACCAAAAACCCTCGGTGAGGGCATCTGCCCAGAAGGGAGGAGGGTGGAGTGTTTTCGCGCGTGTCGAAGTTGGGTGGTGGAGATGTTGGAAGAACCAGTCGCTCGAATCAGAACTGCCAGCCGGCGCGAATCGCTCGAATCCAGTCAGCGGCACTAGGTGACACCTACCTGTGTCAAGGTGCGCCCTAAACATCGAGGGATTGGTGGAGCCGTGGGGCGCTTGAGTGTGGACGAAGCGGGAGAAAACAGCTCAGCAACTTCCGCACTTACCCACATCGCCGCCAATTGGCACCGCACTCGGGTTGTTGATCACGAGTCGCAGCTACTGTAACGGTCGGTGAAGGCAGCCACGGAGAACAGGTTCGCGGACGTTTCTGCCCAACGGAATGCCTCAGAAAGCGTGTCTTCGCTCTTGGGGCCAGCGTGTGCAGGCAGCGTCGGCCACAAGAGTGGCAGGTGGGCAGACGGACGCGTGGTCTGGCGCACCGCTGGCTTGGACTCACGGAAGGGGTGGCGGTGGTTGAGCAGTGGTGGTGGTGGTGTGGTGGTGGAGGCGGATGATAACACCGAGCGGGACGACCGCTGTGAGCGTTTTGACCACCAGGACCTTTGGCCTTCACACCGTTTCGGGCAGCAGCGATGGCAATCCAGCTCGACGGGCATCGTTACATTGTCCTTTATCAAGCTCAGGGCACTCCACCATAGGCCCTGTGCACCGTAGGCCCTCGATAGGGGCCACACCTGCTCGTTGGTGGGATCGGGAGAAGCTTGCTTTGAAGGATGCTGGGGGCGGGTCATATTTGCCACAACCAGACGCTGCAACATGCACTGGGATATCTGCTGCTCCCAGCTGTCTTGCTTTGCTTGTTTCTCGCCCAGGCGCGTTGCTGCAAGGCCAGGGCCTGACGCTCATTTGGTTGCTCTAGTCGGTGCCGCGCGCTTGTTTCCACATCGCCGAAACCCATCGTCGCTCATGCTTGCCTCACGCAACACAGGAGAAGGTCAGCCCGAACTCGAGGACACATTGCACCGAGGATCATCACTGCCACCAGCCCGAGGAGAAAGAGAAGCATCCTTGCTTTTCGAGCTTCCCTCTTGCCGCATGCATACGTCTTGGGGCGAGGCGAGGGGGACGTCACTAAAAGGGAATGGTTTGCTAGGGGTCGTTTAGGCCGCCCCTGAAGCGATGGCCCTGGACGCCGCCGGCCAGGAGGGTACCCTGAGAGGCCGGCAAGCGAAAACGGCTGAGATCGGGCCGACGATACAAAAACGTAGTGGCATCCTTGGGGAATCGCGTGTGTTTACCAAACGCCTCCTGACTCCCCTCCTGTGCCCAATCCCCCACCCTCCTTGTCGTTGCCTCTGATGAGGACTAGGCTACGAGGAGGACACGCTGCTGACCCTGCTCGCGAGGGCGACAATGGGAGGAGGAGGCGGAGGAAGAGGAGGAAGAGGAGGAGAAGGAAGAGGAGGAGGAGGAGGAGGAGGAGGAGGAGGAGGAGGAGAAGGAGGAGGGGACTAGCAAGGGTCTGGTAATCTGTTTCCGAACAGGGAAAGCAACCTCTCGTGGCCAACGACTAGGCCCCGAATGAGCAAACGCCAGGCACTGGAAGACGGGGGCGCCAACCCCTGGGGCGCGTCTGGAAGGCGAGCCGAGAAATCGTTCGGCGCGCCACCAGGCGAAGCTGCCAGGCGACGCACTTTGGTATACTCGTGATCACTCGAAGGGACAGAAATACGCCAAAACAGCCAGAAGGCGAACCCAAACACCCAATGTAAAGCCGGCGAAGTTAGTACACAAAAAACATGAAAACCAAAACCCTCTACCATCATCTAGGCTCTTTTGCCTGGCTGCCCTCTCGCAGCAGCGCTGGCGCTGAGTCTCAACCGTGCGTTCTTCATCGCTTCCTCGGCTCGGGAGACGGGGGGGAGCGCAGCATAAGCTTCAAGGGGGCCACCCAATTCACACGCGCAGTCAAACAGTCAAATCTCGTCTACTGAGTCGCCGGGTTTGTCGGAAACGCGCTTCTTCCCATCAAACACGCGCTTTACGAGTGCTTGAACCTAAGCGCGGGAGACTCCAAACAGCGCGAGCCCGCGGACGAGGTCGACTCTTGGCACCGAACACGGGGTAAGGTCCAGAGGGGGAAACTCGTCAAGTACGAGCTTGGAGGCCACGAAGTCCCAAGAGGCATCCGGCAGGGCGGTGGCCGACACCACCCGCCCGTCACGACGGGACGGGTGCCCGCGGGAGGGAGGGGAGCAAGAGGAGGAGGGGGGAGGAGGAGGAGGATCGAGGAGGAGGGAGGGGCAGGGGGGGAGGGCGAGGGAGGATCGAGGAGGACAAGGGAGGATCGAGGAGGACGAGGGGGGAGCTCGAGGAGGTTCGCCGCCGCTCTCTTGGGCGGGGCGCGCGGCGGCACGGGGCGCCGATGGGGCGCCTGCGACGGCGCTGCGTCGCCCGGCCAGGGTTCGGACCACCCCTTGGGGGCGGGGAGGGGGGACGGCGCGCTCTCGTCGGCGCGCCTCCTCGAAGCGCCTCCTCGCGCGCCCCGATCCTCCTCGATCCTCCCCCCTCGCCCTCATCGTCCTCGTCGTTTTCCTCCCAGTCTCCACCCCCCTCCTCCTCGATCCTCCTCCTCCCCTCCCCCCTCCCCCCCCCCCCCCGTCCTCCCGCTCCGCCTGTGGACCGGCGTCCAGAGAGATCCCTCTAGGTGCTGCAGGTGGTCCCCGCCGTTTGCGGGTGCCGCATGGCGCAGCAAGCGGGCACCGTGCCGAAGATGGGCCGATCACCATTGAGGGGGCCGGCCCGGGACGGACGGACGAAGAGGGAAGGACGGACCATTGATCACCAAAGACGGACGGAGAAGAGGGAAGGACGGACCATTGACCCCGGACCTTCCGGCCCGGGACGGACGGAGCATCGATCACCATTGATTAGGGGGAGAGACGGACGGGGGCCTGCGAGAAGAAGGAGGAGAAGGAGGCCACGGCGGGGAGAGCGCTGGTGCTGGCAGGTGGCGTCCAGGCGGGCGGAGGGGCGCTGCTGGGCGTGCCACGCCTCGTGCTCATCCCAGGGGGCCGCGGGGCCTCGGCTGGGTCTGCGTATTGCCTTCTCCTCTGGGCAAGGCCGGCCCCACCCCAACCCGAATGGCGATGATGCCTCGCCCTTAGCGCCGTGCTTCCTACGGTGTACCCGCGCGCACGAGCCTTGGCAACAAGTGGAAGTGGGATGTACAAGATCTTGGAATCACTTACAACATGGCATCTCGGCCGAGATTCACCAACACATGTTCGCATATCGATGCAACATTGGGTCAACAAAAACCTAGAATGACAATTTGACACATGTTGACCCGTGTGAGCTCGCGTGTTGCCATGTCATGGCGCAAGCTTACCCTCTGCCTACACATAATTGTCTATGCTCATACAATTCTACACATCCATATACACGTACGTATGATTAAACCTCCCAGACTTACCACTTTGGCAACCAGTTAGATACGAATGCGCCACCTGTGCTAGCGCAGAAAAGGCAGAAACAACTGGAGGAACAACAACAGCACGAGGAGATGCGAAAACATGGCGAACGGGAGTCAAGCAGGAGCGGGAGGACAAGGGAGCAGGACGAGAGCGGAGGAAGGAGCATCTACTCCTCCTGCTCCCTCGCGCCCTCACTCACCTCCTAACTCGGACTCCAGACCCCTCCAGGGCGGGCTCCCGCCAGCTGATGCACTCGCCGATGCAGAAGAGCGCAAGCCGTGACGAGCACAGCAGGAGCCCGAGCTGGCATCTCAGTGCCAGGGCGGCACGAGACCGCCCCCCCAAAAAATGTGCCCCCGAATGGGGCAATCAAAATGTACCGACACCGCGACTCCGCGGACCCCTCCCAGGGTGCGCTCTGACCAGAATTTCGAGGCGAATCCAGCGTTGCTGACGAGGACCTCCCAGGAGGCCGAAAAACGGGACAACCGAAGGGTGGAGGTATGGGTACCTTTTCCTCCTCTGACCGAGCGTCCCTTCGTTCACGCACCTGCTGGGGGCCGGCGGAACGGCGCGAGCCGCTCCTTGCCGCCCCTTCCCGAGGAGCAGCGAAGGCCGACCCCGGGGGGCGGCGCCTCGGCGCCCCAGCCGCCCGACGAGTCCCAGCCGCCGCCCGCGTCCCAGCCGCCGGCGGAGCCCCAGCCGTCCCAGCCCGAGGCGTCCCAGCCGCCTCGAGGGGGGCTGCGGAGAGCAGACTTGAGCAGGGACCGACCGTTCCGGCATTTCTATAGGCCTACCACGACGTGTTCTTAGAGCCCCACAACGATCTAAGAACAGAAACAATGTTCTTAGAACACAAGCCCAACGTGCTGAAACAAGACAGTTCCAGCCAGAAATGTAAACCACAAAAGGTTCTCGGAACATTGTTTGGCAGGACTATAGACACGCCAGGACGGTTCGCCACTGCTTAACAGACGGGTCCCGAGGGAAAAAGGCGCCCTGAACAGCAGGGCCGAACCCCAGGACCAGCTTTCCGCCCCGAGCCGTTGTCAATCCATGCCCGGATCCGGAAGTTAGAGGCCTCCTGGGTCGGAGGATCACGCCTGCCGCCGAGGCAGCATCGGTACGGCGATACATCGGCGGCGGCGGCGTGGAGAAACGCGGGCTCCACAAGGAGCCGCAGCGCCGACGCATCGGGGACGCGGTGCGATCCTGCGATCCAAGCTCCTGGGACCCCACCAGGACCCCGAGTCCGAAGACAGCGGAACACCTCAGGGTCCGCTTCCCTCGCACGACTCCTCCGCGTCATGGCGCCGAGGGCGCACCGTCGTCGCCACCGCCGGGCGTCGTCGCCGGCCGTCGCCGCCGCGGCTCGCCGTCTCTGGGCGTCGCCGCCGTCCTCCGGGGTCGAGGCCGCGGTCTGCCGGTCGCCCATCGTGGGGCGCCGCGGTCAGCCCCCCTCTGTGAGGACAGAACAGCTGGCCATCGCTCGGACGTCCATTGCCTGTGCATTTTGCTCGGTTTCGTGCGTGTTTTTTTTCGCGGGATGATCCAGGATGCTCCTCAATAATCCCCGCCGAGAACAAGAGCACACGTCCGAGCGATACCAAAACAGGGTGTAAAGCACAGAGGGCCGGCCATAACCCCCTCTGCCCGACCCTCGCGGAAGGTCTCGGGTTGCAATTGGCTGAGGGGGGCACGGGCGGCCATCCCTGGAAATGGACTATCGTTAGGGCATGGGTTCGCGCGGAGGGCAAGTTATAAGTTCGAGTTCGGAAACCGAGGAAAGCAAGGGTTCGCATAGCAATTCAAAAATTCAGGGAGAGCTCGAACAAAATTCAACTGTGGACAGCGGTTGGGGAGAAGCTAGCAAAAACAATGCATCAAAACCGGAATTCGGAAAAATGGAAACGCTTGGAAACACCAAAGCCAGTGCGAGAGTTCAGAAACCATGCAAACGCGCTCCAGATGTTCGGAACTTTTTCGCCGCCGAGTGAACTGGAAGTGTGTACACACATGGTCTCGAAATTGTTCTGGACCTCGATTACTGAAACATACGGCCCATTCACGCCCTCTCGTCCCATGGCATCCCTGGAGATACATGTAGGCCCACAAGTTGCATCAGCAACAAAACCTCGTCCAGGAAGAAAAAGGGAAGGAGAAGCGGCGATTCAAGCGAGCGGCGATGGTGCCGACGCCGACGACCCGAACCCGTTAGAACTCAGCCCCCTTTCGGGGTCCATCCGTCGAGGCCAGCTCCTCACGACGACGACGACGACGACGACGACGACGACGACGACGACGACGACGACGACGACGACGGCGGCGACGACGGCGGCGGCGGCCGCGACGGCGGCGGCGGCGGCAGTGACGGCGGCGCCCGCGTCGCCGTCGACGCCACCTCCAAGGACACCGACGGCTCTTGACCGCGACAAAGAATGAAGGGGCCCAGAGACACACAAATAAATACACACAAATCCCAGGATCCCCGAAATTGTCTTATACTTTCTGGGTTCTCGTCTTCCCCCCCACTTTCCATGTTTTCCCATCTTCTCTTGGGAATCGACAATTCTTTGTGTCTGTGTTTTTTCCCCTCCCGAAAACACCACGCCACCGGCGACGGCCCGGACCACGGCGGCGACGGTGGCCGACGCCGACGGCGGCGGCAACAGTTGCCGCGACGCCGCCGCTCCGCCTCGGCCTCCCTTGGAGCGGCCGCGCCCCTTGTCGGAGCCGGCGGCGCCGCCGCGGCTGCCCGAAGAGCCGCCTGCGGCCGGGAGGCGCCGGGTGAGACACGCCAAGAACGCCTGGATGCACGAGGAGCGCCAGAAGAGCAACAGTGGACCATGGGAGGGCCTAGGGAGAGACATATCAAACAGAGAGGGGGATAATATAGTTATACATGTGCAAATACATATATATATATAGGATAAACCTCCATTTAGTAAACCACCCTTTGATGAAAAATGCCTGGGACCGAAACCGACGGACCTGGACCCGCAAAAACGACGGCCGCGACGCCCTCTCGCGAACCCGAAAACTGCAAATTAGCTAATCTACGTGTCAGGGTAGGAGGTCGATCCACCCCCGAATATAGAGACAGCGACAGAGAGAGAGAGAGCTCGAAAGAGAGAGAGTTAGAGGGGATCAAATAACATCGTCACCACCAAAACCATCGCGAGAAGCCAGGGAAGCTCCTCCTTGCGGTGCGGTCCCCCTATTTTGCGGCGTCAAGCTCGAGACTTCAGTTCTCAAGCCCGGGGAGGCATCACGGACCACCTCGCTGGAGGCGGCCCATGGTGGTTGATGCTCCTTCTCCTCATTCCAAAGGGGGGCCGAGGAGCGACGAGGCAATAGGGGCCGAAGCTCACAACGTGTGAGCGATGCGGGGCCTCTCTGGGCAGCCCGGAGGCCTCAGCAGGGCTCTCGGGACATCTCGGTTGTTCTTGCAGCGCTCCAGAGACTTCAGGCCCCCGCCCCCCCAGATCCGCCCTTCCTCTCCGACCGCGCCAACTTAATCTTCCCTCCTCTCCGAGTCCCCGCCCCTCATCGCCTCCATCCTCTGGACTTCCAGCCCCTCGCTCCCCCTTCCGCCCACCCGAGCAACCTCCCCCCCGACCTCGCCTGGAAAGCACTCCGACTAGAATCTCGAAGGGGATCCAGCCGAGGCGACGAGGAGCCTCCTGGAGCGCCGAACAGGGAGAGAGAGACGTCCAGAACACCTCGGACCTCGACGCCCCCACGATAAACCCATTCCGTCGTAGCTCCGCGAGGACTTCTTGGCTCGGGCCCTGTGCCGATACAAGAACTCCGCGCGGACCTCCGGAGATTTGTGCCCATGCTTTTTCTCGGCGATGAACAAACCTCTCTTTAGTAAACCTCCGTCTAATGAAAACGGCCTAGGAACGAAACCGACGGACCTGGACCCGCAAAAATGCCGACCGCGACGCCCTCTCGCGAACCGAAAACGGCCAATTCGCTCATCGACGCGTCAGGGTAGGAGGTCCATCAACCTCCGATCTTCCTGTTCTTAGGACGACCGTCGGTCAGCAGTCGGCGTCTCCAAAGGGTGCGGTTTGCGAAGGGTGTGGTATGCAACCGGCACCCTGGGGAACATGACGGGGGGGACCCTAGAGGGCGCGCGGGGACCTCGATGGAGTTCTCCCACGCCCCGAGGAGGGCCGACAGGGCCGACGCGGGCAGTGCCGTGCCCCCCGGGCCCCAGCGGTGCCGATCGCAAACCACACCCCGGCGTAACCTTAATTACCCTTTGTAGTCGCCGAAAGTGGTCGGCGACGACGGCAGCAGCCGCTCTGGACGGCCCGCGGCCTTGCCAGCTGTCCCAGCCGCCCGCGCCACCGTCCTGGTGCCAGCCGCCGGCGCGCGGGGGGACGTCGCCGTCCCCGGTGCCCGTCCTCCGCCCCTGCTCGTCCTGCTCGCCACCGCCCCCGGTCCAGCGTGGCCCCCCTCCCCCAGTACGCCGCCGTCCGCCCCCCTCTCTCTCTCTCCGCGCCTCCCGCTCCTGCTCCTGATGTCTCCTCCTCGTCTACCCTCCCCCTTCCTCCTTCTGCTCCTGCTCCGCCAACATCCGTCTCTTCCTCCTTCTCCTCCTCCTCCTGATCCCCCGTGCCTCTTCCACATCATCCACCTCTCCTACTCCCCTAGTCCTCATCATGTTCATCCACGTCCTCGTCTGTGTGAGTATCCGCATCCTCCTCCTTGTCCTCTCTCTCGTCCTTGTCCACGCCGACGCTGGACAAACGAACTTCTGGCACGAATGGCCTGAATCCGTCCACACATTCATAGAGGATGGATGGATGATCCAACGACGCCGAGGAGGGCAGTTCAGAGAAGCACCCTCCACTCAACTTGCCATCGTTCGACATCTTCTCCTGGCCATCGTAATCGCCCTAGTCCTTCCCTTCCTTCTCCTCATCCTACTATAACTCGTCCTCACCTCCACCTCGCACTCTCCATCCCCAACTTTACCCTGTCAACGTTGCGCCCGTCCTGGGACCAACTGGTGTCGCCCTTGCCGCGGGCCTCAAGATCGGTCTTTCTTCTCCAACGCAGTTGTTGGAAGGGAAGGGAGCAACGGCGGGGAAAACCTCAGAAGCGATCTTAAAGAGCGGCCGTCGAAGGCAAGCAGGAACGTATGAGGAGGCGAACAAACGATACCTGGCATGGACAAGGACACGAAACCATGAGTTGACTGCTTGGTCAAAGGCCGAGCCCAATCATCTCGAACAGCGCACGCACAAACACGCGCGCGAACACATAAACGCGCAAACGCCCGTTTTTGCTTGCTTCCCAACCAATTGGTCCAACACAATGATACATTAGCGATACCGCGAAGGACAAATATCAACAAACATACACGCACGCACGCACGCAGAAACACACACACACCCAAACACACACACACACGCACACACACACACACGCACACACACACACTCACACACACGCACACACGCACACGTGCGCGCGCAGCCAGACAAACGAAACACGTACCAGCAAACGCACATCAGCATAGCACACACGCAAGCACACCAGCAGGCACAGAAGCGTGCACGCACACGCACACGTATACACGTATACACGTATACACAGATACGCACACGTATGTGTACACACATATATATCATACAGGAGCATGATGTCCTGATATACATGGCCCCACAATTAAGGATAAGAGTGAGGGGGCGGGGGAGCTTGGGTGGTGGGGTCGTCGGCAGTCTGCGAAGCTCGGAAGGTGTCTTGAAGAAGTCCGCCGCAGGCCAATAGTTTTTGCACAATGCACAACGAGCCCGCCGCAAGCGCAGACTTTCCGTCTAAGCAATGTAGTTGGGTATCGGTTGGGTCGCGGTTGGGTCGGAGGTGGGTCGGCGATGGGTCGCGGGTAGGTCATCAGTGGATCGCGGGCAGGACGGCGACAAGAACCCTACTTCATCAACGCACCCAGGGACGGTGTGAGACCGACCGCCTGGCCCAATAACCCTGTTTGTACACACGTATGTACATGCATACGCAGACAGGAACATACACACGTCTGAGGCAGGTGCCCACAGCACATGGGGAGGGAGTCGAGATCACCTGGAATCTCAAGACAAGTGCAAGCACAAACACACCACCCTCACCCCTGGATCCTCCCTCCTCTTTCCCTCGGCCCCTCCACCTCCTGCCTCCCCCCTACAATTACAGTAGGACTTGACTGGACAGGACGCGCGAGAGGACACAAGACCCTTTCAAGAGCCACATTGCCGTAGGAATGTAGGAGGCATGGGCCGCGAGACACAGGACACAAGAGTACTCTTGATCTGGGAAGGTCGACCTACCAATCAGGGCCGACTGTATCCGTCATCACCGCCGCGGCCCCTCCAGAGAGCCCCTGCAAGAGCGGACCACACCGAGAACATAACATCAAATCAATGATCATCCCTCGGCGGCGCGCGCAAGGGGTTGACGCGAGGGGCGGCGGCCTTCTTGATAACGCGGGGGGCGTGGGGGGGCGGGGCTTCTAACACTCGAGGCGCGCGGTGCTCTGGGAGCCCTACCAGCTTCTGAGGAGGAGGCCTTCCTAGCAGCCCCGAGGCCCCTCTTGAGAGTGCACCTGCCCCCTAAGACTGAGGCACCCCCCAACCTCTTGAGAAGGCCACCCCCGCTTCGCCACCCCGTTGATGCGCGCCGCGGGCTCTTCCTCCATGCTCCTCGGGGGAAGCGGGGAGGGAACGGAGGACAGCGTGCAACTGCGCCACTGCCCGCTGCTAACGCGCCCCGGGCCGCCTTGCCGCCGCCCTTCTCGCGGCCGCCCTTCTCCCTGGCGCCCTTCGGCCTGGGG